AACTGCAATCCTTTGGCTTGATCTGTTAGTTGAGCACAAGGGGCTTCTTTCTCGACTGCGGATTTAAGTTTTTCCATGTCTTTGGCTAATTCCTTAAGCTGTTCTTTTAAAGCGTCATTTTCCTTTCTTAAAGACTTTAAATTGTCTCCCATATTAGTTACATTTAGTTTTAAATCAAAATTTACAAGATCTTCGCGGAGCGAAAACTCGACGTCCGTACTCCGTGACGACCAGTTCAATCAGTCTTGCCATCCACTAGACGAACAGCTACATCAGGCGTTGGGCTCTAGAATTGGTGAAATTGAAATATATAAATTCATAAGTACTACTGATCGATCTTATTCTCGCTTAGGTATTTACTTTGCAGGTTTTCAGCATTGCTTATTGCTTTATTTGAATTTGATGATCACAAGGGTGTTCTTTTTCCATTTAGGTTTCCTATTAGAATGGAGATTCAAAAATACATCTCATTGTGCAAAATTGTGCAGCACATGAAAGACCTTTATAAAATATATATTTCATACATATCTGTGGAAAATGAAGTGCCTTTTCCACATTAAACCATTGAAATAGTTAAATAAATCCCTGTATCTCCCAATATTTCTTTACATGGTGTTAAATAACATGGATGAACAAACAGAAAACCAGATTTGAAAAAAATATCATATACATATGACTAACCCTTCATACACGTCACACCAACGTCTTCATCATGGTAACAGTACACATTACGCCATCCACGGTGACTGCAGTCTGTAATCGACGTTTCTCTTCCTGTACAATCAACGTTTCTCAGCCATATTATACCCTTGACGGGTGTAAAGTACCCCACTGACCATGGTACCTGACTTCAAGTCGACCAGAATTGCCTGACCTTCCTCCAGCTAAACGAACTTGAACTGGTGGAGGATCTGTGGATTTGTACCAACATCATTGAGGTCATTGTACAACTGTCACTTGGACAAGTGTTCGAAAGAGAATAAAGAGAGCTTGACTAAAGCTCTTGTCTGATCAACAAATAAACTATCTATGTTATGTAGTTTGGGCTACCTGTGGTGGTCACGTGATTGCGGTGTGTGACCACATGGCGGGGAGCAACGTATGTAAAACGTTTTAGTTATAATAAAATAAGTTGGATAACACCACGATTACTGTGGAACCCTTAAACATAACATTGGCGACGAGGAGAGGAGTAATCGATTGGTAGAAATGAACGAAAAAGCGACGGCAAGTGCCGAAAATCAACCTGGAATAAGCAGCCTTAGCCCAGCAATGGCGAGTTGTTTTGGAAGAATGAACGAGTTCAATCCCGACAACGAAGATTGGTTGACGTATGTGGAGCGGTTGGAAATGTTTTTCATAGTCAATAATGTCCCAGAGGGCAAAAAAATCGCAAGTTTAGTTACCTTAATGGGAGGTAAGATGTATTCGNATTTCTACTTTGCCAGTATGGTTTTGATCTCCCACCAGACGAACTTTGATCGCTTTCTCCTCTGAAACAAATATTGTTCAATAAACAAACAACATTGTAATCACATCCCTTATATTGCTTGATTTCATGTTCAGAGAGTAAAGATATACAATATATATATATAGCTATTCTAATCAACGTCGTCACAAAAAGTAACTTCAATACTTGATAAAATAGCAACGAACGGCTAATGCAATAATTTTCAGTTGATGATTTTAAAATATTGTTTCTTGACATGATTGAACAGTTAAACAAAGATCACATGAATATACTGTTTTGTGACTTATCTAGTTGTACCTGGTGTTAGATTGCCACATACCACTCCAGCATCACGGCTGTGATCACATCCACTAGTGCTACCCCAGCCAGCATGAAGACACTGATCAATAGATTCTTGTGATCCTCAGCAATCAAGCCCTGCAAGCAATATAAGACCAGCTCCTTTGACGCTAGCAGTGCATCTGTGGATTCGCACCAACATCATTGAGGTCATTGTACGACTGACACTTGGACAAGTGTTTGAAAGAGAAGAAGTAGATCGAGCTATACTAAAGCTATTGTCTGATCAACAAGTGAACCACTTAGATTATTGCCTTTGATGCGATGATAATTGAATGGTTAGAGTAAAATAGAGATTTGTCTTTCTTACCTTCATTTGTCTGACAAACCACACCAGCAAGATCTTTATTTGTGCACAATGAATGAACAATCCACCATCCTGAGTGAGCACACTCTGCTATCGACTTTTCTCTACCACTGCATCCCACATATGACATGAGCATTCTTCTTGGTGTCTCTCCTTCAATGAACCGAATGGCATGTTTAGCTGCTTTGTAACCAAGCATTCGGCAGATCACGTGAGCATCTCTTATATCCCACCACCAATAACCACACACTACTCCCCAGGTCCCTTGATACTTGATTTCTACTTTGCCAGTATAGTTTTGATCTCCCACCAGACGAACTTTGATCGCTTTCTCCTCTGAAACAAATATTGTTCAATAAACAAACAACATTCTAATCACATCCCTTACATTGCTTGGTTTTATGTCCAGAGAGTAAAGATACACAATATATATAGATAGCTATTCTAATCACGTGGTCACAAAAAGCAACTTAAATATTTGATAAAAATAGCATCGAACTAATGTAATAATTTTCAGTTGATGATTTTAAAATATTGTTTCTTGACATGATTGAATAGATAAACAAAGATCATATGAATGTTTTGTTTCGTAACTTATCTAGTTGTACCTGGTGTTAGATTGCCACATACCACTCCAGCATCACGGCTGTGATCACATCCACCGGTGTTACCCCAGCCAGCATGAAGACACTGATCAATAGATTCTTCGGATCCCCAGCAATAAAGCCTTTTAAGCCATATAGGACCAGTTTCTTTTACGCTAGCAGTTGTTGCTGTAACTGCCTTGGAGTAATTCAACATGTGACACACCACGTAAGCATCCAATATACCCCATCGATCATTGCATATGGTACCCCAAGTACCTTTGTATCTTACTTCTACACATCCCTCGTTGGTAGTCTTACTATCCACTAGACGAACATTGACGTTAATTGCATTGCCACATACCACTTCAGCATCACGCCTGTGATCACATCCTCTAGTTTTACCCCAGCCAGCATGAGCACACTGATCAATAGTTTCTTCGGATCCCAATCAACGAAGCTCTGTAAGCCATATAGGACCAGTTCCTTTGACGCTAGCAGTTGTTGATGTAACTGACTTGGAGTAATTCAACATGTGACACACCACGTAAGCATCCCAAATGTCCCAGTTACCACCATTGCATATGGTACCCCAAGAACCTTTGTATCTTACTTCTACACGTCCCTCGTTAGGAGTCTTGCCATCCACTAGACGAACACCTATACATCAGACGTTGATTTCTAAAATTATTGAAATTGGAATTTATAAGTTCATAAGTACTACTGATGGATCTTATTCTCTTAGGTTTTTAGTTTGCAGGTATTCAGCATAGCTTATTACTTCATATGGATTTGATGAGCACAATAATGTTCTTATTTCCATTTAGGAAAATGTCCTAATGGAATGGAGATTCAAAAATTCATCCGGCCATGCTGCAGAATTGCGTAACACATGGAATACCTTTAAAAATATATATATTTCATACCCTTCCGTGGAAAATGAAATGTCTTTTCCAGTCTTAACGACTGATATCGTTGAATAAATCCCTGTATCTYCATCTTATTTTATGTCATTTCTTTACATGGTGTTAAATAACATGCATGAACAAACAAAAGAAATAAAAATTAAATAATTATCATATGCATACGACTAACCCTGAATAGACGTCACTCCAACGTCTTCACCATGGTAACAGTATGAATTACCCCATCCTCCGTGGCTACAGTCTGCAATCGAAGATTCCCTTCCTGTRCAACCGACGTATCTCAGCCATATTATACCCTTGACGGGTGTAAAGTTAGTGGTTATGTATTCCTGTACTCCAGGGTAACCAAGCATACGACACACCAACTCAGCATCTTTCATGTCCCATCCATCATCACATACAGTACCCCACTGACCGTGGTACCTGACTTCAAGTCGACCAGAATTGTCTGACCTTCCTCCAGCTAAACGAACTTGAACTGGTAGAGGATCTGTGGATTTGTACCAACATCATTGAGGTCATTGTACAACTGACACTTGGACAAGTGTTTGAAAGAGAATAAGTAGAGCTTTACTAAAGCTCTTATCTGATCAACAAATGAACTATCTAGATGATTTGCTTTGATGTGATGATATCTGAATGATCAGAGTAGAGTAGAGATTCGTCCTTCTTACCTTCATTTGTCTGACAAGCCACACCAGCAAGATTTTTGTTCGAGCATGGATAATAAGTTGTCCACCATCCTGAGTGAGCACACTCTGCTATGAACTTTTCTCTACCACTGCATCCCGCATAATACATGAGCTTTCTCCTTGGTGTCTCTCCTTCAATATAGCGAATTGCGTGTTTAGCTGCTTTGTAACCAAGCATTCTGCAGTTCACGTGAGCATCTCGTATATCCCAGTGTGAAGGCCACCAATTATCACAGACTACTCCCCAGGTCCCTTGATACTGGATTTCTACTTTGTCAGTATGGTTTTGATCTCCCACCAGACGAACTTCGATCGCTTTCTCCTCTGAAACAAATATTGTTCAATAAACAACCAACATTCTAATTACATCCCTTACTTTGCTTGATTCGATGTTAAGACAGTAAAGATACACAATATATATTGATAACTATTCTAATCAACGTGGTCACAAAACGTAACTTGAGAATTTGATAAAAATGGCGAACAAATGCAAGAATCCTCATTTGATGATATAAAAGTCTTGTTTTTTGAATGATTGAATAGATAAACAAAAATCTTATGAAAGTTTTGTTTTGTAACTTATCTAGTTGTACCTGGTGTTAGATTGCCACATACCACTCCAGCATCACGGCTGTGATCACATCCACTAGTGTTACCCCAGCCAGCATGARGACACTGATCAATAGACTCTTGGGATCCCGAGCAACGAAGACCTGTAATCCATATAGGACCAGTCCCTTTGACGATAGTGACACACCACGAAAGCATCATATTGATTGTAGACTGACACATGTCATGAAGTTATGATAAATAGAGCTCATGTATTTAGTTTAAGTCAGAGTATAGAAGAAGAAGAGTATAGAAGAACTGAAGAAGAGAAGTAGAATAAAGATCCCGTAGCTCGTACCGAAAGCGGTCCATCCCATAACAGAGATACGAAATTTATCTTCTCGTGTTGAAAATCTATCACTCGTTCGCTGCGCTCACTCGTGAGAGATTTTTTCAGCACTCAAAAATAAATTTTGTATCTCCGCGCTCACATGTAATAATATCTATTTCTTACTTTCATTTGTCTGACAAACCACACCAACAAGATGTTTATTCGTGCACCAAGAACGAACATTCCACCATCCTAGGTGAGCACACTCTGCTATCGACTTTTCTCTACCACTGCATCTAACAAGATCCATGACCGTTCCTCTTTGTGTCTCTCCTTCAATGAACCGAATTGCGTGTTTAACTGCTTTGTAACCAAGCATTCTGCAGATCACATGAGCATCTCGTATATCCCACAGCCAAGACCAATCATCACACACCACTCCCCAGGTCCCTCGATACTGGATTTCTACTTTGCCAGTATGGTTGTGATCTCCCACCAGACGAGCTTTGATCGCTTGCTCCTCTGAAACAAATATTGTTCAATAAACAAACAATATTCTAATCACATCCCTTATTTTTTTTAAATTTGATGTTCAGAAAGGAAAGATACGCATTATAGATAGATAGCTATTCCAATCAACATGGTCATAAAACGTAACTTGAACACTTGAGAAAAAAGTCAAAGATGCTAATGCAAAGGTTTCAGTAAATACGTTGTTTATGATTTTATGAATTTTTCCTCGTCATGATTAAATAGATAAACAAAGATCGTATGAATGTCCTGTTTTGCAACTTATCTAGTTGTACCTGGTGTTAGATCGCCACATACCACTCCAGCATCACGCCTATGATCACATCCACCAGTGTTACCCCAGCCAGCATGAAGACACTGGTCAATAGATTCTTCGGATCCCGAGCAACGAAGACCTGTAATCCATATAGGACCAGTCCCTTTGACGATAGTGACACACCACGAAAGCATCCCAAATGCCCCAGTTACCATCATTGCATATTGTACCCCAAGTACCTTTGTATCTTACTTCTACACGTCCCTCGTTAAGATTCTTACCATCCACTAGACGAACATTAACGTTAATTACATTGCCACATACCACTCCAGCATCACGGCTGTGATCGCAACCAGTGTTATCCCAACCATAATGATAACATTGATCAATAGATTCTTCTGATCCACTGCAAATCAGTCCTTTAAGTAATATAGGACCAGTTCCTTTGACGCTAGCAGTTGTTGCTGTAACTGCCTAGGAGTAATTCAACATGTGACACACCACGTATCGAATCGTAAATATCCCTTCCAGCATTACATATCGTACCCCAAGTACTTTTGTATCTTACTTGCTTCTTGAGTTAATATTTCCGAAAAAAATTACTGACAGCAACATGTCTATTTTAGAAGAAGAAGCCATCGAAGATCGACAGTTGGTTGGCTCCTTACACAGAACTAACCCATCTTACACTTCATTCCTACGTCTCCACTATGGTGACAGAATGCTTTACCCCATCCACTGTGACTGCAGTCTGCAATCGACGTTTCTTTTCCAGTGCAACCAACGTTTCTCATCCATATTATACCCTAGTCTCCCCCACAGCCGCTTTCAGTGTCGTCACGCAACGTTTTCTCCCCTGAGTAGCGGCTGCTTACCCGAGCACAACATTCCTTTCCTATGAATTAACCAATCACGGCTTAGTTCTCGAAAACCAGGAACCATTTGCGCCATATGGAAAACAAGATGCGTCGTTAGAGGAAGGCTTCGAGATAGCAGCTAAGAAATTTCGCATCAAACAGTTTAATGATCAACAGAAAGACGCTATACGAAAGATTTTACAAGAAAAACAAGATTTCTTTGAAAATCTGCCTACTGGATATGGGAAATCACTCAAATGAATAAAATATTGGCGCTCTAGAGTATAGCCCAGTAATTTCTTTCGAGACAAGCTCGAGGACTTTTTGAATAACAGGAGTTCGAAGTTCTTGGCATTTCATATAAACTGCTAACGCGACGTTAGAAGGTTGGCCATAAGATAACGCTTTAGCTAACGATTCGTGTTCACTTTTCACGACTTTTTTAACAGTGTGAACAAGACAAAACAAAACATCTTTTCTAACAGTATCAAATTGAGCTTATCCTCGCAGTATACGCGAAGTAAATACCAGAACTGTGAGCGTTCAGAAGTTTACAATTAATACCCGTGGAAGTCAACGGTGTGACAGTGTCAGACTTAAAAGTTATCTAGCATTTATGCGATTTTCTTTAGTTTTACACTGCACTCGTTGTTTAAAATAAGTGATCTGCGCGGCTCATCTTCTTCGTTTATTAAAAATACTGCCAGACTTTATATTCGAATTTAATCTCTTAAATCTTGAGTCGTCTCGTTTAACTTCCATGAGTCTAGATTACGCTTTTTAAAAACGTTTTCCAGTTTCTTTTTGCTTCTAAATTTTGGTACGAGCTCGAAAGCAAGTACAAACTCGAATTCACTATCGGCCGATTAAACAATGTCGATAGCTAAACTTATAGAAATATAAATCTTTTCTTTCTTTATGAACAAAGAAAACACTTTGTTCCGTCTCCAATACTTTTTTTTGGGGGGTGGGGGGGGGGGCATTAAACATTTAACAAGAACGAATTCAATTTTAATTTCCCAAAGATTTTCTCCAACTTCCACTCAATGCGTCTTAGAATTATTACTCTAGTCTCGCGATTGTTTACAAGTTGTCAAATTCGAAACGTTTTGATTGGTTCTTGAAACACAATGACATTTATCTAATTGGTTGAACACAAACAATAGGGAAGGAATGTTGTGCTCGGGTAAGCAGCCCCTACTTAGGGGAGAAAACGTTGCGTGACGACACTGAAAGCGGCTGTGGGGGAGACTAATTATACCCTTGACGTGTGTAAAGTTGGTGGTTATGTATTCCTGTACTCCAGGGTAACCAAGCATACGACAAACCACCTCCGCGTCTTTCATGTCCCATCCATCTTCACATACAGTACCCCACTGACCATGGTACCTGACTTCAAGTCGACCAGAATTGACTGAACTTCCTCCAGCTAAACGAACTTGAACTGGTGGAGGATCTGTGGATTTGTACTAACATCATTGAGGTCACTGTACAACTGACACTTGGACAACTGAATGTTTGAAAGAGAATAAGTAGAGCTTGACTAAAGCATTTGTCTGATCAACAAATGAACTATTTAGAGGATTGGATTTGATGTGGTGATATTTGAACGATTAGAGTAAAGTAGAGATTTGTCTTTCTTACCTTCATTTGTCTGACAAACCACACCAGCAAGACGTTTATTCGGGCATGAAACAATTATCCCTCGATGGACATTCCACCATCTACGGTGAGCACACTCTGCTATCAACTTTTCTGTACCACTGCATCCCACACGATACATGAGCTTTCTTCTTGGTGTCTTTCCTTCAATGTACTGAATTGCGTGTTTAGCTGCTTCATAACCGAGCATTCTGCAGATCACGTGAGCATCTCGTATATCCCACCACCAATAACCACACACTACTCCCCAGGTCCCTTGGTACTTGATTTCTACTTTGCCAGTATGGTTTTGATCTCCCACCAGACGAACTTCGATCGCTTTCTCCTCTAAAACAAATATTGTTCAATGAGCAAACAACATTCTAACCACATCCCATACATTGCTTGATTTCATGTTCAGAGAGTAAAGATACACAATATATATAGATAGCTATTCTAATCACGTGGTCACAAAGAGCAACTTAAATATTTGATAAAAATAGCATCGAACTAATGCAATAATTTTCAGTTGATGATTTTAAAATATTGTTTCTTGA